TTTTTTTTTTCTTTATATCTTGTCTTACACTATTAACTGTTACAATTGGAACCTAACTACTTAGAACTAAACTTAACTATCAGTCTCCATGTCACTGGTTCCTGAAATCTTCTGCATAATGGTTGTGAACCTCTTGATGGACTCCTGCTTGATAGCTTCTTGGCCCATCCTAGTTGCTGCAGGCAGAGCATCTGTCCAGGGTGCTAGCTCATTGAACATGGCCAGGATGCTTGCTCGCCATCGGATGGCCTCATCAATTTTGGCCCTCCTCTCCATTGGGTCCACTAGGTTGTCTGCCATAGATCTCCGAATCTCAAACTGTTCATTCAATCTATTCTTCATCATGTTGACTCCTGTCTCAATCAGCTGCTTGGCATAGGCTGAGTTCTCTGCCTCTATCTGTTCTTCTGCCCAGGGACCCCTGTTTGGTCTTGATCGGAGAATTTCTAAGACTTCCAACTGGGTCTCTTTTGCTTTTCCAGACATTAGAAGCTGTCCTCTATCCAGAGGGATATGTTGGATCAAAGTGGCTAATGCTGTTGTGGAATGTTCAGGCAAGACTCGAACAATATTCTCCACCATAATCCTGTCAGCTGACGAGGAAATGTGCTCTCGGATTCCTGCTACATTGTATTCCTTGAACGAAGCTTTCTCTTCTTCGGTGGCTAGGGAGCCTTGATGATATAGCAATCCTAGATAGGCCAATTTGGCATTGTTCTTAATATGGTATTGATCTGGCAATTGAGATCTTAGTCCCATGTAAGGAGAGTTTGCCACAACTTCTCGGATGGTAGCAAAGTGAGTCATCTCTGATTGGAGTGTCACATAATTCTCCCCCAAGCTCTCTTTGACAAGCTCAAAAACAGGAAGAATAAAGTGGATCGAAGTGGAGTGATAATTTGTGTAAACCAACCTGGCTTGATCAAGAAGAGCTCCTGCCAGTGGTTGAATTGCCCCAGATCTCACTAGATCAGAGGCAGAGGCTAGCTCATGAATTTTGGCATCAGGGTTGGTCATTCCGTCAATGGTGCGACAGATGATCATTGCCAGTACATCATCAACCAGGGCTATCATTGAACCAACTTTCCATTGAATGGCATTAATCAAATCATCAGTCTTTGCAGCATCATAGAAAGGCATTTGATTTGGGATGCTGGCAGCCTGTGCTCGGCGAGAAATTTGCTCATGAAGTCTCTCCCTCCTGGAGTATGCTGGAGCCAACAAATAAATGGCTAATAATGTTAACCTCTTTCCAGGGTCCAGTGCTCCATGTCCAGATCCCATAAATGTTATTGTTGTTTGATCTTCTTCAGGACTGTGATGATCCTCCACTATCTCCATTCTCTTAGATAGTTCTTCCCTTATATAAGGAAACATCGCAAGTAGAGCTGTACACAGCCTGGTGGATTGACTGTACGACTGGTCCTCTAGTATTCTGAACATTTGTTCTTCTTTGGTGGAAAAACAGAAGGGGTGATCAGCTCCAATGGTTTCGAACCGCACAACGGCTGATCCAGGCACAAAGGCATCCAAGTCACCCTGTGTTATCAGCATTTCAACTGATGGGTTTATGCTTCTTAACATGTCTCTGATACTGGCACAGAATTCGGCTGTTCCAACACCAACCACAACCCCATCTTTAGGTCCTGAGCTTCCTGCTAAGGGGCCCATAATATAGTATAGGTATGAATTGGTTGGGGCTGATGAGGCACCCTGGTTGAACTGAGAGCCATCAATCGACATATGCTGATCTGGTACATACAATATCCCAACAATCCTTTGAACAATCTTGCTTCTGAACCCAAGGAAATCAGGGAAGGAGGAGAACCTCCAAACAGTTGGAGGGTCCTTGGTGAACTCAAGTCTGGCTCCTGCCAGGTCACCTCTGACACTTTCCCAGTTGAATGTAACAGGGCTTTGGGGTGGAACAATGGTAGGCATCTTGAATGTGAGGTTGGTCAATTGAGTGGAGATCAGAGACGGTTTTTAAAATATCATTTAACAAAAGAAAACGTGGTTTGACGACCACTGTCACCGTCTGCTAACTGTCGCTCAAGATTAATTCGATAACTTACGTACTTAACTAAA